CAATCTTGCAACATAAAGCCAGACAACCACAACAGAAAGGAAATTACCGTCAATGCTGCTGGAGGGAGTATCGGCGGCAGACTTCACTTCTTATCACATACTATATATATGTGTGTGTTATTTCCATTATGCATGAAAATAACTTTGAGAAAATAAAAGCACAACACACAAATCACTATATGCATGCAGGGAATACGCCATATTCAAACTTTTCAACTTGTCTCTTTCAAAGATTCTCAGCTTCGACCCTCTTGCCGAAGAAGGGACGAGTGACAAAGGTGTCGGCGTCGCTTTCGACAGAGTGCACGGCTTCGGCCTTCCTACCAAAGAAGGGACGAGCGACAAAGGTGTCGGCGTCGCCGTCGGCAGAGTGCACGTCTTCGGCCCTGTTGCCGAAGAAGGGACGAGCGACAAAGGTGCCGTCGTCTCCGACTCTCCGTGTACAGAGTGCGACAAAGGTTGTGGGCCTAGGGGCCAAGCTCATGAAAGAGGTTGGCATAGATATTCCGAAGGGAATAAGCCAGATACGAATACAACAGGACCATAACAAGCCAAAGTCAAAAGGAAAAAAAAAGGGACGTTGGTCAATGAAACGCTGAAACAACGTTAAGATGACTTTTTTTGCCACAATATGGGAAGTCCTAGGTCGTCGCGCGAAATAAAATGAGACACGTTAGAGAGATGTTCGCAACACCTGAACCTCTAGCAGAATAGCACCTCCCAAAATTTGAGCCTAATCGTTCGCGTCGACCATGCTGACGAATACCTGCACATCACCACAAAAGTATACATTTGAGAGACAGAGTGATTAAGGTACCAAAGCGTAACATCTCGTAAGAGCCATTAGTTCAGGTAAGAAAGGATCAGAGACTTCCGCATAAAATCTCCCAAAAGCAAAACTAATCACTCGGCTTTGGCGCAACTCCGACGAAACCAATCGCACCGCCGACGGCTTATCTACCTGTGGTTTATGAGACCTTACTACTTCAATCACTAATATTAAACCATGTGGGGGCTTGATCGAGCTTGGCCTATGGGAACGTCATGAACTCATGATGGGCCTGAAACTCGATAAGATCAAGCACGATCCATTACAATTAATGTTGAGCTGATAGGCCCAGACATTATGCTTCCGTTGCTCTTTAGCCCTTCCAAAATTAGTCCGTGTTTGCAAAAAAAAAAAAAAAAAAAAAAATCGTATTGTGCTGGCGCTTCGACCCGAACAAATTGCTTATTATAGTCTAGCCTTGTAAATAGTTTTAGCAGTATTAAATGGTTCATAACAGCTGAAATTGAAAATTCCAAAGCCAAGACCTGGAGCGACGTCGTAAAGGGGAAGAAGTCGACCGTTGCCTTAAACGGCACAGCATCATAGAACCCGCCTTTATTTTGTATTTCTTCTCTGTTGTTTTTCTTTTCCCTCTGCTCTGCTGTAAAAGGATACAACCCAGCAGATCCTTAACCTGTAGTGGCAATCCCACATATATATTCATCTCAATGCAAAGGCACAACCCAGGTTTTAGGGTTTTCCACTTCACATTGTCAATAGTTCAATCACGATTTCAGTAGGGGAAAAAAAAACATTTTATATAAGGTTGTGTCAGAAAAGTTAGTGAATTAGATATTTATGTTGAAATCATAGTTCAACCGTTTCTTATCGCTAAAAATTCACCTACCGATTTAGAATCCGGTATGAGGTTATTCGATGTAACCGCGGATACGATACAATTTGACAAACACTAAATTCCGAATACAACCTCCGATACTATTTTACAGCACGTAGTTCTCTTTTTTCAATAATCAATAATAACAATAGTAATAATAATAATTTACTTGCACATGACATAAGGAAACTAACACTCTAAAGGGTGGGCATGTACTCTCCGCCTTAAAGTCTCTCAGCCTTGTTCCCAGAGACAAGAAAATTGCCGCCGATAGAGTACTTTTACCGAAGGTAATGGGAAGCGGATTGCCGGCGGCGGCATCGCCATCCGTTTCAGTCTTCTTGCCAAAGGTGAGTTTTAATTTGTTATACAGACCCAGAATCATATACCTTCACCACCAAGCAATCACCCAACTGTGATTCAATATGATGGGTCGTTCCTTAACAACACCTAGCCTGCGACTTATAGTGTAGTAGATGTTAACCGGCCTCATGGACAAGTAAGTATGTGATAGGAGAGTCGAGACTATCCTTTGTTCTACCTCGGTTGAAGCTGAAATGAAAGTCCTTTTGGAAGGACTCAAATTAGAACAAGAATATATGATTCCAACTGTTTGATCCAATAACTACAACAAAGCTATTATTTAGCGACGGTCATACGGACTTTTAGCGACGGTCAAAACCGTCGCTAATATTTTTAATGACGGACGACAAACCGTCGCTGATCCCGCGGTCCTTAAAATTTTTAGTGATGGTTTTGGTCGACCGTCACATTGGCCGTCGGCAAAAAGCAACGGTAGACGGTAGTGACCGACGCAATCTTCCAAACGACTGTCGTTAAATTAATTAAACTATTCAGTGACGGACTAAGACCGTCGCTAAAAGCTATCGACTGTCGCCAAAACACATGTTTTAAAGAGTGACCTGCTCCAGTAATCACAGCCCTAGCTTGCTGTGATTTAATTTTTTTCATAGGAAGCCTGCTGTGATTTTTCTTTTTCATAGGAAGCCTGCTGTGATTTCTGAAATGAGAAATCATCCATATACAGATACTTTGATGATCATAAATCCAGCTACCTACTTTGAATTACCATATCAGAAACATAAACCATCAATCCTTCAATTCTGGAACAACCAAATCCAATCAAACCACTTACAAAAGTTCAAAACCTACAATCTTAAAGTTTACTACTCTCATTCAAACCACTAACAAAGTTCAAAACTCCCACTTATAGTCCCTATTAGCTCCTTGTTCCACTAAATCCAGTCAGAACCCTTTGAAACAACAAAGATCACATTTTCTTCATTAACTTGCAGCCCTGCATATGAACAAATCAGCAATATAAAACATTTAAACTAAGTTCTTATGGTTCAGTACGATTAACAAATCAGAATGCAGGGCAATGGGATTAAAAGCCTTTAGATTGGCAGCAATGAAATCAAAAGCCTTTAGATGGCTTGTTAATCAGAAAAGACATTCTGAAAATTGCATCAAGTAGTACCTTTTAAGGAGTGCTACCTCTGTATGATCCAACCAGAAAAATCGAAGTCCATATGAGAATCCATGGGTTTATTTTAGTAAGTAAATGTTAGCCTACAGAACAAGTCCAGCCATAATTAGAGAGCTTTCTTATATATACCAAAGCATAACCAAAAACTAAGTCTATATATATGACTATGTTTATCTTGAACAAGAAATTTATAAATTACTAAGCATGACTAAAGAAATTGGCATATCATAGAATGCAATATAACCCATAATTGAAGAAACAAAGAAGGTCCAAAAACCCAAATAAACCGATGCAGATCCACGAACATCCACCGATCTTGTCGTGCATGCATGCATAGCAATAAAAGGCAGACCCATTCGATCCGTTTGTACAGTAGCCAGGTGCAAGCATTATGTATGTAAAATGAATCTTGGTTTCAGCATAAAATCTCATTTACATGAACTGGAAAAATCAGTAATATGATTGATATTTGCGCTGAAATTGTGATTCAATCGTTTTATACCACTAAAAACCGTCAACCAATTTACAATTCAATAGATGGTTTTTTGGTCCAACTGTCGACACGCTACCGTTTCACAACACTGTACATTTTCCAAACAACATCCGGTACAATTTGACGATAACTGCTCGTAGTTAGCTGCGCCCTTCCTTTATGATTTCCACTTACAAGATCGACAATCATGACCAATGTAGTCAAAATCGCGCTTTAAAACTTAAAAACTTACGATTTTACGTTTCTAGGTCACTAAAACGCTGCTACACAAAATCTCAGTTTTTATAATTTATGTAGTTAAAAACTCCACTTTAAAAGGTAAAAACTTACGATTTTACTCTTCTAGATCACCAAAACGTTTCTACGTAGAAACTCGCTTTTCACTACATTGATCATGACTACTGCCAACAGGCCTAGTTTGTTTCTTTTTTCTTTGAACAACAACCACAAAAACTAAATGCAATACTATTTGAATTAATTATTCATCTTCCACTCCAATACATCTATCTGAATCATTTACATTAGCATGGCTAATAATATTATCTTATTAACAAAGGGAAAGAATGAAGGGTGAATTAAGGGAAATAAATTAAGGTTTGGGTTAGGTGGTCACTCAATTACATTACAAATTTTTATATTTATTTTCAAATTATCATTTCTATCATTAGCAAGTCACAATTTGATCCATATATTTTTTATATGTGGACAAATATTCTTGATGGAGCGGGAAGGATAAAACCATACTCGTCCTATCCCCATCAAACTTGCGGGTTTTACCGATACTCGCCCCATTCCCAATTAACTTGAGAATTTTTCGTGTTGACTGGATCGTTAGCGGTCGAGTAGCCGTAATGGTGGATTTGACTAACATCCGTGCTTATGATCCTCGTGCATAATGGGACCTTGAAGTGTTTGAGTTGACAAAATTTTGAATCAAGAGGTTTTCGGTACTCTTTCATCAAAGGATCTTTCAACAAATCGATCCATAAAAAAGGAAATTACAATTTAGCTGGAGCGGAAAACATGGAATATGTAAATCGTACACACAGTGAACTTTTTATTCTTATATATATTATATAGTGGTTTTAATAACCCGAACTTACAACAGAAAGCCACATAGACAACCACAACAAAAAGGAAATTACAGTCACATGCTGCCGGAGTGAGTATCGGCGGCATGCTTCACTTATTATCACATACTATATATATATATATATATATATATATATATATATATATATATATATATATATATATATATATATATATATATATATATACGTTATTTCCATTGTGCATGAAAATAACTTTGAGGAAAAAAAAAGCACAACACATAAATCACTGCATGCATGCAGGGAAGACGCCATATTTCAAACTTTTCGACTTGTGTCTTTTTTCAAGGGTTCTCAGCTTCGACCCTCTTGCCGAAGACAATAATGGAAGGAATGGGAATGCCGTCGGCATCGCCGCCAGCCGAGTCCACTCCTTCGTCCTTCTTGCCGAAGATTGGAAAGGGAGGAAGCGGCACCATGCCGGCATCGCCGCCAGCCGAGTCCACTCCTTCGTCCTTCTTGCCGAAGATTGGAAAGGGAGGAAGCGGCACCATGCCGGCATCGCCGCCAGCCGAGCCCACTCCTTCGTCCTTCTTGCCGAAGATTGGAAAGGGAGGAAGCGGCACCATGCCGGCATCGCCGCCAGTCGAGCCCACTCCTTCGTCCTTCTTGCCGAAGATTGGAAAGGGAGGAAGCGGCACCATGCCGGCATCGCCACCAGCCGAGTCCACTCCTTCGTCCTTCTTCCCGAAGATTGGAAAGGGAGGAAGCGGCACCATGCCGGCATCGCCACCATTGGGCGAGCACACTGCAGCAGCCTTGGTGGTGGAGACATCAAAAGGAACGGTGGAGGATTTGTGGCAGGAGACATAATGTTTGGGCGATTTCGGGCAAGTGTTAGTAGTAGTGCGGCCCAAGGCAACAATACGATTAAGGCTACGAGCAGTAGTCGCGGCGGTCGGAGGGACGGCGGTGATCATTGTGAAAGTGGACAGAGAAGAAGCCATTGGATGGTTGTTGTATATATGCTCTCTAGTGTGTTTGCTGTGTATGAAGTGAGCTCTCCCAAGGGCAAGAATATAATGCGGTATTTATAGATGTGAATGCGATCAGGCCAGCTGCCTGCAACGACGTCGTCCTTCAAGCCTGCACCTTCCCACGATCCACACGCGCCCATCAACTCTCACTTAATTTTTTTTTTTGCATATAGGGAGGCATAAGCCAGGAAAAAGAATCATGACTACCTATGCCACTGACGAGGTACGAGGATTCCTATTCATTGATTTTTTATTATTTTTTTTTACTATAGGTAGGTTGCATTATTGTACTAGTGTAATTAAAGGAGAGTATATGAGTGGTTGGATGCTACCTAAATGGAGTGGGAGCAGGGAAAATGAATGTGGAATTTGGTCCCTGTAGGTTTTAATGCTCACGCAGGCCCAGTTCCAGGCCTCGGTCCAAACCCGTCTTTAAAATTAGGGTAACCATTCTATCACCAGAAATTAAATGTTCGTTACAAAATATATACACAATAATATAATATTTGGGTTTATACGATATGATTATAGTTATGTTATACACTAATTTTTATAGTGATCAAATGAAGTAATTATACTGAACAGCTAATTTCATATATATATATATATATATATATATATATATATATATATATATATATACTTAAAATACAACCAATTAATCTCAAATGAATGTCCCGAGAATTTCACACGTGTCATGGGAAACGTTATACAATTGAAGATTGAGAGTTAGAATGATCAAATGAAGATTATGTAATGCAGAAAAATCAAATATAATCATTTTCCTTTTGCATAGTGACAAATATGATCATTCCGTCCAATAATCCGTGAAATTTAACATAAGTCTTAGAACTTTAGGAATTCTCAGTTGGATGAGTTGTTTTTTATTTTATGATCAGAGATTGTTAGTCTAGTCATAAATTTCAAAATTCTGTTATATTTAACGGTTCATTAGGTGAAATCACTATATTTGTCTAATTATGCAAAAATGACTATGTTTGTCATTAGCATCAAAGTTTTTTAATATACAAATATGACATGACTAATGGGTGGCACGACGTGGTGATTTGGAGTGACGTGACATCCATGTCAGCATGTTGTGAATGTAGCTAACTGAAAGGGGTTTTTGAGAATAATATATTTGGGAGAATATCTAACTTGATTTCATTGAATATAAAGTTGGAGGGTGACGGCGAGGGTGCACATAGCTCAGATAAAAGATTTTGAATCCGCTCTAATTCCGCGGTAGCATGAGCAATTGCACGATACTCCGCCTCTGTGCTTGAACGAGCAACGATCCGATGCTTTTGAGATTGCCTGAGATGAGAGTATTGCCAAAACAAATTAGGTAGCCAGAGGTGGAGGAATCGATCATCAAGATTTCCAACCCAGTGAATGGTGTGCTGGATCGACTAATATCTCCCTTATGATAATAATACATAAAATAATGCATTCCTAAAAAAGAAAGGAAAAAAAAAAGCATTGCTTTGTCATTATAGGTGAGTGAAAGTAATATCATTCAAGACTCGATAGAGAGTTACAGACTTTGACATATGACCATCACTTTATAGTTTCCGGCCCATCGACTCCAACCACCACGAAGAAGGCAAGTGGGATGCCGTCGGCAATCTGTCCTCAACCACTCGATAATATATAATTCCCAAATTTTGGTTCAATTCAATTTAATTGATACAACGACGTTGCATGGAAATTGACAACCACTCGATGGTCCAGTAAAATTGACGGTGAATTAGCATTTTTGTTAATCATGACAGCAAAAGCTAATAATGTCAATGTAGACTCATTGAGAGTGATCAAACGTGAAACATTGGGTTAATTGCATAGTTGGTCACTGAGATTACAAAAAACGTTCATATTTGGTCACTGTAAATATTTAAATCCAATTTTGGTCACTTAAATTAGTTAAATGATTCAAGTTTGGTCACTCTCCGTCCAACTCCGTTAAATTTGTCTGATGTGGCAGTCAACCCTCAAAGTTGACCGTTAACTCAGTGACGTGGCAATTAAAAAATAATAAATAAAATAAATTTTAATCTTCTACCATTTTCACAATAAACAATAAAATAAAATAAATAAAACAAAAAATATTATAATTACAAATTGAAAAGGGGCTTATCACCAACGACGACAACAACCACCACCTCTCCTCCGCCGCCGATGACAACAACCACCGCCTCCGGCGCCTGTATCAGGACCTCTCCACCATCCTCCCCCACCGACTCGGCCCCGACGATCTCCTCTCCAAGGATGTTCCCCTCATCCTCGAGCGGCACAACAACGATCTCGCCCTCGTAATTCCCCCTCTCCCTCTTGAGAACGGAAACCTAAATGGAGGCGGGGGAACCACGGCAAGGAGGAGGATCACTAATTTTGTTCGAAAGAAGAATCAAAGTAGTAATCACTTATTGAAATGGCGAAAACACAGAGCAAATAAATCTATATCCAGAGACAATAAGAATCAGAAAGGAAATTGGGACGGAAAGGGATCAAATGGCAAGAGCAAATGCCAGATGAAGAGAATCAGTTCCAGTCAATGATTATCTTCTCAACCAGGATGTTCAATCCTTCCTAAAAACAATAAAACAGCAGCACCAGTGGAGTAACATTCAGATAGCTTTTCCTTTGCACGCAGAAGCCTAGTTTCTCGAAAGAAACAAGCTTCCATCTTTCATCAATTTCGCAAATAGAAACATAATAATGGCTCGCTCCATCTCCATCTCCGGCGCCAAGCTGCTTATCTCAGCCGCGGTCACAAAGGCAATCACCGGGTGGAGAGGATTCTCCGCCGCCGCTGCTGCCGGAAAAGCCGCGGCAAGGAAGGGGGGCTCTTCTTCTGTAACCGCCGCAACGAGCGGAATGGTGAAGAAAACAGGGGAAGCGAGCAAGAGCAGCTGGGTTCCTGACCCGCGCACCGGTTTCTACCGACCCGAGAATGTTGCCGAAGAGATCGACGTTGTCCAGCTCCGTGCTCTCCTCTTGAAGAAACACTAAACCATGATTCAACTTCCTGAAAATCCAAAAAAGAAGATTCATACTGTAACGCCGCCATCGGTGCTCTGTTCTCTTCAGGAGGTTGCAGATTCGCGATCAAGATTCCGAGGCAGGTCGTCAGCTGGAACAGTTGGTTCACCGCTCCTCTGATTTTCGCCGGCGCCATTTCCGATAAATACAGCGGCACCGCCTTTCGTTTTGGGCGAAAACGTGAGTTTTCCTTTCCAATTGAATTTAAATTAGATTCTAAATTTGGGGGTTTTTGTGATTACCTGGTTGCTGAATCCGAACCCGCCGAGGAGGACGCGGCCGATGATGAGCATGAGGATGTTGACGGCGGCGGCGTTAATGACGGCGCCGAGGAAGAAGCTGATTGATCCGCAGATGCTGATTCGCCAGCCCTTCTTTCTGGTGATGACGGAGGCGTCGAAAGTGGAGACGACAGCGTCGTCGTAAATTTTATTTTTATTTTTTAATAGTTGTAAAATGAGGTGTAAATTGTAAATATTTAAATTTTATTATTTTATTATTTTTTAATGGCCACGTCACTTATTTAACGGTCAACTATAATAGTTGACTGCCACATCGACAAAAACTAACGGAGACTAACGGAGAGTGACCAAACTTGAACTATTAAACTAATCTTAGTGACCATGAATGGAATTAAATATTTACAGTGACCAAACATGAACGGTTTTAGTAAACCCAATGACCATCCTTGCAATTAACCCGTGAAACATTTGATCATTTGTAACTAAGCACCTAGGGGCGTAGCTAGAGTGTATTAGGAGGGGGTCATGGCATCCCTTTAGATTTGGAGAAAGAACAAAATATTAGTAGTATCAGTTAGTTCATGATTAAATTTAAATTCTAAATTTCAATGTCAATCGTCAAATCTTCTACCGTTAAATCACAACAAACTAATAAATTAATTTGGGTTAATTGCATGATTGGTCACTGAGATTATAAAAAACGTTCATGTTTGGTCACTGAAAATATTTAAATTCAATCTTGTTCACTCAAATTAGTTAAATGGTTCAAGTTTGGTCACTCTTCGTCCAACTCCGTTAAATTTGTTTGATGTGGTAGTCAACCCTCAAAGTTGACCGTTAACTCAGTGACGTGGCAATTAAAAAACAATAAATAAAAAATAAAATTTAATCTTCTATCATTTCCAACTCAATTTAAAAATAAAGTAAAAAAATAAAAATATATTATAATTACAAATGGAAAGGGTCGATTCCCTTTTGGTCGGCGGTGCATTACAAGAGGAAGAAGACCGTGGAGGGGACGAAGGCGGCGACGAGGGTGGTGAAGGGGGCAGCGGAGTACGCCGGGCATAAGTCGGCGGAGCTGGCGGGGAAGCCGCTGGGGGCGGTGAAGAGCGTGGTGGGGACGACTGGGGAGAGCGCGAAAGAGTACACGAGGAGGAAGAACGAAGAGGCGTAACGGGAACTGGAGACGAGGAAGGTAACATTTGGTTTTGTTTAAATTGTTGAAATTAGGTCTTAATTTATCGATGATTACCGTGTGATTTCGTCTAATTGGAGGATGAAATTGAGAGGGGTTTCATGGGAGAGCAGAAATCGGCGGGGGCGGAGGAGGAGAATTCCCGACGGAGAAGTGGTCAACGGAGATGACGACGGGAGGAGGATGAGGGGAGGAAGGAGACAAGGAACGCGACGTAGTGTTGGGAGCTATCGGCGAGACTATATTGGATATGCACAACAGATTATGAACCATTTAACTAATTTAACTAATTTGAGAGTTGGACGGAGAGTGACCAAACTTGAACCATTTAACTAATTTGAGTGACCAAGATTGGATTTAAATATTTCCATTTTCCAGTGACCAAATATGAAAGTTTTTTGTAATTTCAGTGACCAACCATACAATTAACCCAAATTAATTTCATCTACTAATTTCTATATAAAAATTAGCTTCTATCAATGTATTTGCTTGTGAAAATAGATTTGATTTGCTACTATCATCTGTCAATGCACAAGTTGATAACATTTTATGCTATGGAACGATTGATCAGCCTTCGCATCTAGTGAACTAAAGTAGTGAATGGTTATTCGGTGGGATAGATTTAATGTGAAATCTTGATAATTTGGCCGATTCTTTTAGTTATAGAATAATTTCACAATATAAAACACGAGACCGCGTATATATTTTTTTACGGCACCCCCTTAAATAAAATTTTGGCTACGGCACTGTAAGCACCCACAAAACGAATATGTATTGGATAAATGAAATAATTAGATAATTGCATCTCATGAGCACATCTAATCGATGCGTAGTTGCGTCATACACCGCAATATATACAGCTTTACTTTTGTGCATTAGCCTTTATCTTTTATGAAAAATATCAAAACAAAGATTTAGGGGTCGTTTGGTTTTCGGTGATTGTTTGGTTGGGATAATTACAATACAAGCATTGTTCACAATGCATCGTTATTTTAAATTTTCTGCACAAACAATACATGCATTGTTTGCTTGATGTGACACAAACTATCACTCAAAATGAGTGATAGTTAAATCTCAAGTTTTTTGCGAGACTGTTGTGAATTGTGATTGTTTGGTTGAGATTGTTGTGTGTTCTTTACTTCCAACTTTGTCCTTACTTTTTCATATTACAAACAAAGGGTAAAAGTGACATTTCACCCAAAAAGTAATATAACATATTTAAATAACACAATTACTATCACGTAAACCAAACAATGTAAACTACAATACACTTTTTCAAGAGCGGCGGACTGCAGATTTCCACTCAACCGTGTGGGGCGACTTCTTTCTTACTCATTGTCTTCGCCGACCAAGAGGTAATTAAAATTTAAATACATACCATAACTACTACTGAGCTACGTAATAAGTATGGGAAACGACCTTAATTAGATAGCTAATATCATGAGTTGTGTACATACATACATATATATATATCATGTGCAGACTGTAAACGGGTGGAACGTGGGGATTGACGCGCTGACGGAGAACGTGAAGGCGATGCTACTGTCAGCTCCAAACGACGCATCTATTAGATGTGCTAATGCGCAAAAGTAAAGCTGTATATATTGGCGGTGTATGACGCAACTACGCATCGATTAGATGTGCTCATGAGATGCAATTATCTAATTCTTTCATTTATCCAATACATATTCGTTTTGTGGGTGCTTACAGTGACGTAGCCAAAATTATTTTATTTAAGGGGGGTGGCATAAAAAAATTATATATGCGGTCTCGTGTTTTATATTGTGAAATTATTCAATAACTATATGAATCGGCCAAATTATCAGGATTTCACATTAAATATGTCCCACCGAATAAACATTCACTGCTTTAGTTCACTAGATGCGAAGGCTGATCAATCGTTCCATAGCATAAAATGTTATCAACTTGTGCATTGACAGATGATAGTAGCAAATCAAATCTATTTTCACAAGCAAATACTTTGGTAGAAGCTAATTTTCATATAGAAATTAGTAGATGGAACTAATTTATTAGTTTGTTGTGATTTAACGGTAGAAGATTTGACGATTGACATTGAAATTTAGAATTTGAATATAATCATTAACTAACTGATACTACTAATATTTTGTTCTCTCTCCAAATCTAAGGGGGTGCCATGGCACCCCCTTATTACACTCTAGCTACGCCCCTGGGTACGTGCTTAGTTACAAATGATCAAATGTTTCACGTTTGATCACTTTCTGTAAGTCTACATTGACATCGTTAGCTTTTGCTGTCATGATTAACCAAAATGCTAATTCACCGTCAATTTTACTGGACCATCGAGTGGTTGTCAATTTCCATGCAACGTCAATTAAATTGAATTGAACCAAAATTTGGGAAGTATATATTATCGAGTGGAAGAGGACAGAGTGCCGACGGCATCCCACTTGCCTTCTTCGTGATGGTTGGAGTCGAGGGGCCGGAAACAATAAAGTGATAGTCATATATATGTCAAAGTCTATAACTCTCTATCGAGTCTTGAATGATATTACTTTCACTACCTATAATGACAAAGCAATGCTTTTTCTTTTTTTTAGGAATGCATTATTTTATGCATTATTATCACAAGGGAGATATTAGTCGATCCAGCACACCATCAGTGGCGGAGGCAAGGCCTGTTGACCTTGTCCCGGGACAGGGATAAATTTCGGTGGAACAAAAATACGCCATATATATTTATATTGGTGATGGAACACAGCACGTATAGGTAGTATTAGAGTACTTTGTCATTAAAACACAATTCATTACTTGTCCAAAATTGTCATAAAATTAATTTATTATACAATAAACTAAATTCCAATTGCAATAAAGAACTAATCGAGTCTCTTTTCTCCTTATGCCTATTCGATCTTTCCCCAACAACCCTGAAATTGTCTAGCGACAACGGCAATCCCACTAGTTTTGATCTACCAATTACAATTGCAAGTGTAAAAAGAGCATTTTCACATTTGAGTTATATTAAGAACAAGTTTCCAAGTCGATTTGGCGACCAATTTGCTAATACTTGTTTAGTAAGATACATTGAAAGAGACTTATATAATAGTGTAGACAACAAATGTTTTTGCGTTTCTTTCACTATATGAAATATTATATTATTGTGTATTTATTTTGCAACGAACATTTAATTTCTGGTGATAGAATGGTTACCCTAATTTTAAAGACGGGTTTGGACCGAGGCCTGGAACTGGACCTGCTGAGCATTAAAACCTACAGGGACCAAATTCCAAATTCATTTTCCCGGCTCCCACTTCCCTTTAGGTAGCATCCAACCACTCATATGATCTCCTTTAATTACACTAGTACAATAATGCAACCTACCTATAGTAAAAAAAATCAGTGAGAGGAATCCTCGTGCCTCCTCGTCAGTGGCGTAGCCAGGATTCGAGCTCAGTGGAGTTTCATTTACAAAAATTCTATAATATTGTATTCAATTATCAAGTAAATTATCTTAAAAAAATTTAGTCAAGTAAGCATTCATCGAATCATCGGTTATTAGATTTGTATCTTACATCTTGTGAAACTCGTATTTGAAAAGTGACATTTCGATAACTAGTTAAATAAGTAGTTCTCAAGTAAAATCTAACACAAAATTGTATAATTTGTATTATAAAGTACATTTGATGAGAAATAAATTGTATCTTAGTAGAATAAAAGTGTTGAATTAAAAGCTTTTTAGATATATCCAGAGGTTTTTGCATATATTTAGTATAATTAGACGTTTATTTAATTGAGCATTATAAAATGAAGAATTTTTAATGTTATCTTACTAATATAGTCTAATTTATTTACATGTCTCACAATACCATGACAATAAAGTTTCATACGAATGGAGTCCTGAATTCCGAACATAGCCTAATTAAATAAGCATATACACATATATATAACCACTCGTCTCCACCTCCCTCCGCCACTGTGCCTCATAATTTGTAGTATTTTCTATTTTGTTGTCATAGAAATTTGAATTAATAGTAACCAGGTATACCCTTAAATATCTCTACGTCCATACCAAAGTATAGTTCATTGGATTCCGCTTGCTTGAACTTAATTTTGAGCAAGCTCATTCGGTGTACGTACCAGGCCGAGATTGATTCCATGAACCTGTAGAATGAACAAATTGACGAAGCGTATTCTCAATTTTCTCGCTATTAAAGATGAAACATTTTAAGGAACCACCACTACTCAACCATCTTCAGTCCATGCTCCTTCTACCAATATCACTGGCTTTTATGGTCAAAACGGGCCAAACAAGTTGGATAAAATGGATCAGGCCGGAAGGGTACTTGGGAGTTGGGAAGGCAGAAGGCTAGAAGCATTCACTATGAAAACAGTTTTGGCAATCTATTCAACCTAGAGGCAGTAAAGTAGAATGGTATGCAACACTATGGGAAAAGTAACACTGAACTGACTCATTATTGTCAAGACCATCCTGAGTTCAGTCAAGTATTAACAAAAGTTGCCTTGTGTATTCTTTAAACTTGAGATCGAGTCCAAGTTAGCTTTTGCTATGAGCGAAGGAAGTAGTATACTGTATTTTAAGTTAATCTGTAGTTGTGCAGCTATATAGTGGTGTAATGAAACATTGTAGTTGTACTACTCTTGTTGGCAGTTGTATTTTTTCGAAAAGCTTGGATTATCAAGCAAGAGCTTATAATAGATTACACAAAATACCGGGAGAAAAAGGACTAGATCGAAATTGTCATTCTAATTATATATATATATCTCTAATTCTTTTTTTTTATAAGGATATATCTCTGATTCTTTATGGTTATTTTAGGAGTACGCATAGCCAAACCGTTAATTTTTCATCTCAATTGATTCTGATGTGTCAATTTATAGTTGCTGAGTTGGAAGGATTCTGATGATGTGGCAAGGTATCAATACTCTAATATCGCTTGTTTCCCTTTTTTGGGCTTTCTATGCATATGGATTATGGAATTCCGTCGAGTTCAGCTTCAGCCTTTCCTTATAGGCTTTTAATTGTAAGATTTTTGTTCACCGTAATGAATATCTTTTGGGCCAAATCACGGCCCGACACACATACCAGGCAACGAAAGTAAGGGCGTGCCTGCCTAGTTCCTTAAAATTAGAATGTCGTTAAGACAATAAACAAAATTTGGAATCGAAGAGATAATTATGATGCCGACACTGATATCACCTCAAGAACCAATTAATCCTAACAATTCGAATTTTTGAAAGAAGTTTAATTATTAATCTTATACCATATTTAACGATGATATCATGGCCGAGTACCATAGTTAGTGGAATACGATAAGGCAAAGTTACGTATAAAATACGTACGGGTATTTTACTTCATCTCTAAGCTAATTTTACGTTTAATAGTATGTTAATATATTAAATTAAGTATTTTAAAAATATATAAGTAATTGTAAAGTTAACAAATTAATTCATTAAATACGGACATTAAACGTGTTATACGAGTTTTACATGTTTTTAGTACGGGAGCTATCAAATGAACGGGAGAAAAATGAAGCGGCTTGACAATAATATGAACACGAAAGTTTTAAACGGATAAAATACATACGGATACATATACGAGTATTAAACGGAGTATTTACTAACTATGCCGATTACCCGGTTTCGACCTTCTTGCCGAAGACAGTACTGAAGGGCATCATATGGCCGAGCCCTCGTGAGTGGGTGTACGAGAGCTACCCGTTCAATGGGAGAGGGATACCCGGACAACATGCAGAGCTGGAGAGTGCGACATGAAGTTTTTTCTACTCATATATTCATCAATCCATTAAGATTTCGATATCTTTATATAGTAAGCATTTCAAAGACCGAGTTTTCATGCGTGAGTTAGTAGTTAGTACTATAGTATTTCTAGTGACAGTGGCGGAGCCAGAAAATTGGCCAAGGGGGTGTCTTTATCATATCATAAAAATCACCTATATAATAGAAAAGTCAACTCTAAATGAAACAAAAAGTCAACAACACAATACTCTAAATTAATACAATTACATAGAAATAGTTTCACCTACACCGATTACAACGTCAAACAAATAAGTTCTGTACTTACAAGTCAAGACTTCCATTTCATCAAATATTACAAATTAGAACTCAGAAGTACATTGAAATTGATTTTGTGAAACAAACAAGTGAACTTCAATTGGTACTTAATCGCTTTCAGCTTTGTTTAAACAAAAGACAATGATTTATTACTATAAATAAAAACGAAAGTGCATTGCATATCAAAACTCACTCTTTCGATATGTTAAGGAATTCTTTTACAACTGAATGATCGCTAGGTCGAATTTGTGTATACCCCTACTGGGAATTTTTGTCCCCAAACCCAAGGGGGGTGCAAGCACCCCCTCCTCTTCAAGTGGCTCCGCCACTGTCTAGTGACCAGCGACTCCGTTTCGGAAGGACAAAATGCTTTTATTCGAGAACGACAAATAGTAAAAAATGTCCTTTCAGGACACGAGTTAATGCATTATTTGAAAATCAAAACTCGAGGTAAGAAAGGGTATATGGCTCTAAAAAAGTTGACGCGAAAAAGACCTATGATAGAGTCGAGTGGCCATTTCTCCTCGTTGTTTTGGAAAATTTGAGTTTTAACCCTACTTAGAGACGCTCGATCCAGGAATGCCTCAGCTCGTCGTCGTTCTCGGTCCTTATAAAGATTCTATAATCACATTCAACCTCGCAGCTCAGCTACCCCTGAAGCTAACTCCAACACATTTCAACTCATGGCGCTCACAGCTTGAGACCTTGTTCCAGGGATTGGATCTCATCGGATTCATCGACGGAACCAGTGTTGCTCCACCACAGATAATCACATAGAACAACACCAGCAGCTCAAATCCTATACATCGGCACTGGTTTCATGCACCAAGATAAGCTAATCCTCCATCCTCTTCGCTGCTTTATTTCTGAATCTTAATTTGTATTCCTTTGTCTATGTTGCTGGTACTTCCCGAGAAGCATGGTTAATTCTTGAAAAATTATATGTTGGTCGCTCTCAATCTAGAATAATCATTCTGAAAAGCAAGCTCAATCGTATGAGGCGGTTCTAAAGGAGCAGACACGCATGACCACTAGGGGTGGCAGTCGGTCGGTTTCGGTTTAACCGAAAACCCGGTTATCGATTAAACCGAGACACCTCCTATTGCTGCCGACCACCGACCGAAGAGAAGTCACGGTTAGCCGGCCAACCGACCGGTCGGCTCCGGTTTTAGGCTCGGTTAGCCGGCCAACCGATAAACAATACATTTTTCACAAAAAAATAATAAAAAAAAATAAAACAAAAAAAGCTCCACCTCTCCTTCCTTATCTCCTTCCTTATCTCTTCCTCTCTCCTTCCTTCCTCCACTAGATCTGTTCTCTCTCCTTCCTCCTTCTTCTTCTCACCTTCTTTCTCCATGGCCCATGGCCATGCAAACAGATCTGAGCGACGGGCGGCGAGGAGCGCGGCGACGGGAGGCGCCGAGGCGCGCGGCGACGGGAGGCGAGGAGCGCGACGACGGAAGCGAGGCGCGCGGCGACGGGCGGCGAGGCGTGCGACGCCGGGGAGGAGGTGGGTCGCCGGGGAGGAGGAGGTGGCTCGGAGTCGAATCAAGTTGTGGTGGCGGTGGAAGGAGGGGTAGCGGAGGAGGCAAGGGAGGGCGGCCGGAGTCGTCGTCGGAGGGAGGATGGGGGAGGAGGAGGGAGGATGGAGGAACGAGAGGAGGGAGGATGGGGGAGAAGGAGGGAGGATGGGGGGCGGCTCTCACTCACGGCTGCTAGGGTTTAGGGAGAGGTGGCCAGGCCCATGTGGGTAGTTTTATTTAGGCAAAAAACGGGGTCGTTTAGTGTCGGTCGGTTAGCGTCGGTTAGCCGGTTAACCGGCCTCGGTTTTTCGGCTAACCGCCTAACCACTGAACGCTTCCGACAACCGACCGACACCCATTTTTTTCGGTTTTCGGTTAGCCGCTAACCGACGGTTTTCGGTTAGACCAGCCGGTTAGCCGCTAACCGGCAACCGAACTGACAGCCCTAATGACCACATTGTCGACGCCTTTTATTCTGGTCAATCTCGTCGCGGTGGCGGCGGGCATTACAGTAGCGGAAGCAGTAGCCTTCCTTCTCATCGTGCTGGCAGCAGCAGCAACAATGTTTCCCATCCTCAGCAGCAGCAGGGTTACGATTTTGGGCCATAAAATCAGCCCACGCGATCGGCAGTCCTCATCAACTGTGCCCTATTCCTCTTCTGAGCCCAATCGTCAGCAGCGGTGAGCTCCTGTTATATGCCTATATAGGTCTAGATGAAATTTTACTGGGTGATGGTTCAGGTTTGGATATCTCTCACATAGGGCTCCATCCAAGACGATCGATGAAGATTTTTTTCAAAAAAAGAAAAAAAAACAGTAAGCTAGAGTTGAGTTAAAACTCACCACCAACTTGGGGAGGAAATTGTTGTTGGGTGTTACGAAATACTCCCCGCACAGACTAAGTAGTAGCGCACCCAATCGGCGATGCACAATGCTTGATACCCGCTACAGGTATATATGGGCTTGAAGCGCCCTCCAAGGAGGGGACCTCAACTTCTCCCCCCTTACTTTTTTACTTGGATTCTCTCTCTACACTTTATCTCTCCATATTATTCTCTCAACTCACTCTAAACTTAGACTAATTTGAGCGTCGGAGTTTAATCCATAAGACTAATTTGAGCGTCGGACTTCAATCAACCTCGTTCCATAAATTGGAAAAATATTTCTATATGGAGGTAAAACTCAGAGCAACAATTCATCCTATATATATGTGATAATATGTTTTACATGACAAGTGACCTCAATTACTAACTTCAGCTACATTATGGTCACTCTTTTGTGTTTTACTATTTTGTTTGTGCATTCTTTTAGTAAAACCACTACTAGCTAGCTCTATCTCAAGTGATCACAACTAGAGGCCTCCACGCAGTCTCCACAGTCAATCTTGTGAGTTGGGATCTGACGATGATCAGCGCTTATCATAAGACTCTGAATGAAGGCAATCATCTGCAAAACACATGGAAGGATTTCCACGAAATCATCGCGCGAATCGACGAGAATGGCTACATAGTTACTTAGGCTAGGAATTGGATTGATGCTAGCCATATAGTATGCAATATGTTTACCGTCATGAAGCCAATGCAGAGAATGCTGAATCCAGGGAAGTCAAATGGTGGTTTCTCAGACAGGAACATAGCCGTCAGAGGGCTGAAGAGCAATGGAGCTATGATGCTGCCAATGGAGCCAATCCCTGAAAGGCAACCTTGAGCCTTCCCTTGCTCGCTCGATCCAACTTGCTTCGACGCGATGCTACGAAGCTATGCACCAAAAGAAACTCTGAGAGAAGTAAAGATTAAAAAATGCACACCATCTGGCTGCAGAGGAAGATGGAGAAAGGGGAAAAAGGTACAGTAAGACTTACACAAGGAGTTACAAGAACCACAACTGCAGTGAATACAGCTGTTGCATATGGAACCTGCATTTAAATAAAAGAAATTTGTAACCGATATAGAGGTGACAATTATCAATCCAATAATCCACCAATTCAATCCACCAACCCATTAAAAATATCCACCTAATCCAATCCATTTAAATCCAATCCATTTGATCTAAATCAAATTGGATTGGTGGATTCATGGATTGATCCATGGATCCAAATGGCAAATTACGGTTTGGTACCTATACTTTTTATATTTTACATTTTGGTACCTAAAATTTAATTTTTTATACGAAAATAGCATTGAAAAATTACGTTTTGATACCTAAAATTTTTCATTATGACATTTTAGTACCTAAACTTTTCACATTTCACATATTGGTCCTTGGTTGAGGATGTCATTTGGATTCGTGGATAATCCACCAATCCACTTGATCCAGTCCACGAATCCACGAATCCATTGGATCCAATCCATTTGATCCATAGATCAACCAATCCATGGATCAATCCATTTGTCATACCAGAGATGAGAAAGGGAGCGAAAAACTCACCCAATCGACCCACGCGACACTGAGGACAACCGTCTGCATGCAGGCAGATAATCACAGCATTTCAGAATTCAGGGGAGAAAATCAATTAGTTCATAAACGAGAGGAAAATCAGCATATTTAGATAGGTAGTAGTTTCATTACATTTGCACAGCCTACTAGCAGGCCAAGTGAAAGCAGCTTCTGTTCTGCTACGAAAGGCGCCAGCAGTGGCATCAGGATCAGCTGTTTTGTTACAATGTGTGTGAAAGCATTAGATCAACAACACAAATGGAGGCATTATAATTAACTGGAACAGGAACATCAAATCGATCGTAACGCGCGCGTAGAATCGATATGTGTACTTAACTTGAGACACCATTCCTGCAAGTCCCATAATCAGCATCAGATCAGCATACTAGTTCTTGCTGAACTGAAATCGCGCCTTCAAGTAGTACTGCAGGGGGACAGGAAAACCAATCATCGTTATTGAAGATTGTTCATCGATGTATGTTATGATTCATGGCTAGATGTGGACAATTACCATGATGGCAGCTTGGAGTCCACCTTCAGCAAGACTGTTGAAGAATGTGACTATGGCTGCCTGACAAAATGTCACACTGCAGCAAAAAGTTCAATTAACCCATGAAAGTAACTATAAGAACCAAATTAGAAAAAAAAGGGTGCTCAACCTGGTCCTAAGCAAGGAAATAAGGTCAAAAGCTGATGGAAATGCCTTGAATGCCACCTTGTTAGTAAGAACACAACTTTGTTCACCATCATCATCATGTGACACTATTTGTTTCAGTATTGGCTTTGTCAATATGTGTTCTGTTTCAGACAATTTGTCCTTGAGAAAGACTCTCATGTACACTGCTGCAGCCATGGACAGAGCTGCTGCGACCTGGAACGCCATAGCGGTGGAGAGGAATCGAGCAGCTAAGGTCCCGAAGACGAAAGCGGATGAGCCAACACCAGCTAGAATCCCAAATGCTGATGTCCTTTTGGATTCTGAAATGTTGTCTGCCTGAAAAAAACCCATATCAATGGTGATTGATTTTAAAGAGCTCAAAAAAAAATTGATGAATCAATGTTGATTTTATTTGGGAGGAAAATCAGCTACCACATAGGCAAGAGCAAGGCAGTTGGTGCTGCCTTCAGAGAGCATGGCAGTGATTGTTCTGAGGATGTAGTAGGCGTAGAAGAACACTGTTGATCTGCTTTATGCCAGTGTTATTGCAAAATAACCAAATAATTAAAGATTCCAATGTTTTCATAATCGGATCGGATACTTAACAGTTAGTCGTTACATAATCGTTGGTTAACACTTGATAGATCCGTTCATGTGTTATAATATAAAAGACATACATAATACACATCACTAACCATAAAAAGAAATTCAAATCCATATCATCAATCACTAAAAAGTTTTAACAAAACTTTCAAACTATATCACAAAAGAAAGCATAATTTTTATTAAATTCAAGTAAGTAATGAGACCGACAATCTGTAGTGAACCACATAAATCGAAGGAGGTTGGGAAATAAAAAATAAAAGGAAGCTTAAATAAAATTACTGATTGAAAATGGATGTTATTTGTCTACGTTAACATTTTGTTTTTCTTAATTATTTGTGGATAAAAATAGTAACCAGTTAAATCGGGGTGGTTCATCTGATTTCTTATGAATTCGTTAAAAAGGTTTGATCCATCTTTAATTGTTCAATCAAATGTACCAAATCGCTATTGTAACTGGTTTAGTGATTCTACTAGTTCCACCGTTGATCCGGTTTGGTTCTTATAAATTCAAAAAAAAAAGATGAAGAGGAAAGTGAAAAAATAACATATATCCCTTAATTGTCGAAGGGCCTCCTAGCACACCTAATGACCGGTCCTGACCATCCACTTCCCTATTTTCAAATATCTAAACTCATACCAGCCTCATACTCATGCAGAGGAATGTTTGCAAATTCATCCTCATACCCTAAGTTTTGGGTACCCCTATCCGCCTTGTACATATAATTCAACATGTAGATATTCATTTATAACACTAACAAACCTATTAAGTCATGAAATCAATAAAGACACAATCTTTCGAAATTCGAATTCAAAGCATCCAATTCTAAACATCTATAAAAACTAAATGCAATATTATTTGAATTAATTATTCATCTCGACTCCAATACATCTATCTGAACCATTTACATTAGCATGGCTAATAATATTATCTTATTAACAAAGGGAAAGAATGAAGGGTGAATTAAGGGAAATAAATTAAAGTTTGGGTTAGGTGGCCACTCAATTACATTACAACTTTTTATTTTTATTTTCAAATTATCATTTCTATCATTAGCAGATCACAATTTGATCCATATATTTTTATATGTGGACAAATATTCTTGATGGAGCGGGCTTCACTACAAGAAAAGTATCTTTTAGGGCTAAATTACAGAGGCAAATATAATATATGTTGCTAAAAGTACTTATATGCAACATATATAAAGTTTGCCTCTGTAAATATTATTATGTGCCTCTAATAATATTATGTTATTTTATATATAAAATAATGTTTAATAGCATATATTACTATTAGAGGCAAAGATACGGAATTTGTCTTCTAATGTTTTAGTTAATAGACTTGTAGAGGCAAAAATTATTTGTTGGAAAAACATTAGTTTAGCAGACAAAAGTTAAAGCCGCCTTTACTTTTAAATCAACATTATATATGGCTTATTAACTTTGTGCGGCACATAAATAGATATTTGGTTTTTCAATGTATCTTTTTTGTTTTTTGCGAGTTTTTCAATGTATCTAATGCCCAACAAATATATCTGTCTCTAACGAAAATATGGTATAATTATATTTTATTATAAAAAATAAATGCAGCAATATCTTAGAAATAAAAAAAAGCAACTTATATACCATATAAAAGATTAGGGGTGACAGTCGGTTTCGGTTTAACCGAAAACCAAAAACCCGATTATCGGTTAAACCGAGACACCCCTTATAGCTGCCGACCACCGACCGAAGAGAGGTCACGGTTAGTCGGCCAACCGATCGGTCGGTTTTGGTTTTAGGCTCGGTTAGCCGGCCAACCGATAAAAATACATTTTTCACAAAAAAAAATAAATAAAACAAAAAAAACTCCACCTCTCCTTCCTTATCGGATACTATGCTAACCCCTAAAGGGGTAGTGGTTTTTGACACCCTCCTCTTGATTGGTCACTTTTCCATTTAAGCTTTTTACTTTATTTATTGTAATCTTGTAAATTGGGAAAGCCTTAATTGTGATAATAATTATGAATGGGGAAGGAGAAAAACGTTGGTAATTATGAGTGGGGAAGGATCTGGGGAAAAACGAAATCACCCCCATTAATTACATAATTAATTTCTCTCACTGGTACATTAATTACACGTACCACTCCACTGGTACACGTACCACTCCACTGGTACATGTACCAGTGGAGTGGTACGTGTACCAGTGGAGTGGTACGTGTAACCATATGTCCTGTTTAGGCTTAAAAAATTGTGAAGACTTTATGTTTATTCACATTCGAAGGATAATTTATTGCTTTTGGCATTGTTGTTGGCATTTCCCTAATTTTGCAACGCATTTTGGAACACAGTTTTTGGCTACTAATGGAAAGTTCCTATTTTTTCCCTATTATTGTTTATCATTGTTATGAAAAATATCATTGCACTGGTATTGTTCTCACTCTAACCTACCTTGTGGATTGCTCGCACCAGTGGAGTGGTACGTGTACCATTGGAGTGGTACGTGTACCAGTGGAGTGGTACGTGTACCAGTGGAGTGGTACGTGTAATTAATGTACCAGTGAGAGAAATTAATTATGTAATTAATGGGGGTGATTTCGTTTTTCCCCAGATTCTTTCTCTTTTCCAATGTGGTGAGAGACCCCAAATTACAAGATTAAAAAAAATAAAAAATCAGTTTAATTAATACTTGCCAATGATTGGAAATAAAATTGGCCAATCATAAAGGGGGTGTCAAAAATCACTACCCCTTTAGGGGTAGTCACGCTAACTGATCCCTTATCTCCTCCTCTCTCCTTCCTTCCTCCACCAGACCTCTTCTCTCTCCTTCCTTCTTCTTCTCTCACCTTCTTTCTCCATGGCCCATGCAAACACATCTGCAGCGGGCGGCGCGGCGCCGGGGAGGAAGAGGTGGCTCGGAGTCATAGCAACTAGCAAGTTGTGGTGGCGGTGGAAGGAGGGGTAGCGGAGGAGGCAGGGGAGGGCGGCCGGAGTCGTCAGAGGAGGGAGGATGGGGGAGGAGGAGGGAGGATGGAGGAACGAGAGGTCAGAGGAGGGAGGATGGGGGGCGGCTCTCACGGCTGCTAGGGTTTAGGGAGAGGTGGCCAGGTGGGTAGTTTTATTTAGGCCAAAAAGGGGGTCATTTAGCGTCGGTTAGCCGGTTAACCGGCCTTGGTTTTTCGGCTAACCGCCTAACCACTGAACCCTTCCGACAACCGACCGCCAGCCATTTTTTCGATTTCCGGTTAGCCGCTAACCGGCGGTTACTGGTTAGACCAGCCGGTTAGCCGCTAACCGGCAACCGAACTGACGGCCCTATAAAAGATTGCTCAATACATATCCACTATCCGAGATTTACGTTCCTTTTGCTTAAAAGATATAATTACGTGGTTGTTAACTCCTCGAGATTTCAGGGAATGAAGCTCTTTAATTGAGAAAATGAGATTACATATTTCATAGCAAAATCGTAATGGGATGACTTTGTACGTGCAAAATGAAAGGGGTAGAGGCGGACTGGCAGAGCATATCACTGACATGATTAATCTTTTCCTTCTTTCATTTCAGAGTTGATTTTCTTTTGTGGAACAGGAAGTTAAATGAAACACCAGAAAGAGGTTGGTTGGATCATAATAGAGAGATGATTCTTCAAGGCGGCAACGTACGCTCTCTCTCATTCTATGCCTAGCTCACTATCTTCAATGATACAATGACATCGCAGAGATGTACAAATTGGCTGAGAGTACGTATTAGTTTGGCAGAGATGGCAAGCTCTCAAAATAACAAAGTGATGGCCGCTCTCCAAAGATCCAGTTCAGATCTTCCAATTTGCCAAACACAGGGTTTTCTCCTTAACTGGTTTCCTCTTGTTTTTGCTTTATTCACAATAGTTTCTTTGGATTATTAATTCAGACTCTCGTCAGCGCTGGATTAGAGAAGCTGTACAAAGTGGCATAGAAGAAAGAAGACCAAAACCATAATTGGCAATCGTCTTTGGTTTTCCAGAGGCTTGCTCCGTAGGACATGGATGCCGGATGGCCTACTTGTATACCCAAAGCCTCCAGTCTGTACAAGATTGACCTTACTGATCTACCACGGAAATCCATTTTTTATAAAATTATATATATATATATATATATAAATATGAGATAAACAAAAAATAAATAAAATGTCAAAAATAATAAAATACATAGGCAGTTATTGGTGTTTTGAAAATTTATTTAATTTCTACAAAAAAACATAAATAAATAAAAGAAAATTTATTTAAAGATAATTATCTTAGACGAAAACTTAATATTGCCAGCAAAAAGACCTGCCACGAAAAATATCATTAGTGGCATATACTTTGTGTCTCCAATTTAAGAAAAGTCGACAACAAAAATAGTCATTCAAAAGTGAAATTAGCAACAAAACTATTTGTTGCTAATTCATAAAATAGTAACAGATAATATCTGCCACTAACATTTGCCGCTAAAGAGATTTAGCGGCAGCAGTATTGACAACACACGTTTATGTGCCGCTGTAGAGCTATAGAGGCAAATAAACCACTTATCGTGACAAACACACTTAGCCGTTAAAAGTTATTTTTCTTGTAGTGCTTGGATATGGGGCGGGAAGGATAAAACCATATTTGTCCTATCCCCACCAAACTTGCGGGTTTTACCGATACTCGCTCCATTCCCATTTAATTTGAGGATTTTTCGTGTTGATTGGATCGGTAGCGGTCGAGTAGCCATAATGGTGGATTTGACTAACATCCGTGCTTATGATCCTCGTGCATAATGGGACCTTGAAGTGTTTGAGTTGACAAAATTTTGAATCAAGAGGTTTTCGGTACTCTTTCATTAAAGGATCTTTCAACAAATCGATCCATAAAAACGAAAAATTATAATTTAGCTTGAGCGGAAAACATGGAATATGTAAATCGTACACACAGTGTAAACTTTTTATTCTTATATATATTATATAGTGG